CTTAAATGGTCTTGTTCAGTTCAACACACATTTGCTGAGCATCTTCTCAGTGCCGGGACCCATCATGCTCCAGCAGTGAGAGACATGGTCCCTTCCCACAGGCTGCTCCTGATGACAAGGGGGGGATGAGGGTGAGTCAGTGTCATGGTGGCTCAGCCTGAGGCAGAGTGGGATGAGGATGCATCAAGGATGCCTTCCTGGAAGAGATGGTATCTTTAGTGGGATAAATAGTGCCTCTCTCCAAATTCATGTCTACCCTGAACCTCAGGAGGTGACCATATTTAGAAACAGGGTCTTTGCAGATGTGGTGAGGTCAGGACCAAGATGAGACGGTAGTGGATCAGGATCAGCCCTGAGCCCAATCACAGATAGCAAAGGGCACACAGAGAAGGCTGGTGATGATGGAGGCAGAGATCTGAGTGATGCAGTGAGGAACCAAGGATGGCAGTGTGTTCCAGGAGCTGCCAGGAGCTGGAAGAGACAAGGAGGGACCCTCCCTTAGAACCCTCAGAGGGAGCAGGACCTGCTGACACCCCGATGCTGGACTTCCAGCCTCCAGGACTGTGAGAGAGCACACTGCTGGTCTGAAGCCACCCAGTGTGTGGGTAGTTTGTCGTGGCCACCTTGGTGGCCGATGCAGTGTCTCAGTATCTGAGCTGAGTCCCGAGGGACAGCAGCCAGTCTTGCTGTTTGCTTTCCCATCCCCTTTCCCTGTGTGAACCACACTGTGCTCCCAGATGGGGACACTCCATCAGTCTGCGAGGTCGGTGACAGCAGGCGCGCTAGGCACCTCCTTGTTCACTCCATGGCCCCCACACTTACCTCTATGCCTGGCACATGGGGACTTCTGGTCAGTATTTGTTGAATGCGCACATAACAGTGAATGAATGAATGAATGAATGAATGAATGAATGAGGAAAGAGCCGTGTGATCAGAGGTGGACCAGTTAGCAAGTCATAGGAAAAGGAGCCTTCCCAGGCGGGAAGCCATGGCAGCTGAAGTGGAGGGCTGTCCCAGGCTGTCCCTGGCTGTCTGGGCTGATTGCTTTCCCCTGGTAAATGAGGGGATTTGGGGCAGTTGTCCACCGGGGATGTGCAGACTAGCCGGCAATAAAGGCAGGTAGGGGGAGAAGGCACGTTGCCGGACCCACTGCCCACCCACTGTCAGACGTGGGTCCTGGGGCCCTCTGTTGTTCACCGGAGCGTGGGTGCAGAAGAGGCGGAGACAGGGTTGCAAGAAAATGACTGCCTGCGGAGGAGACTGGAGACTCCAGGCCAGGGAGCTCCCCTTCGGAGCCACCCCTGATCATGAGGAGAAGCAGGAAGGGTCTGACCCAGGTGGGGCCAGGATGCCGGCAGCTCTGTCCTGCCAGGGCCCTGCTGCGCTGCCAGAGGATGTGCCCATGGTCATCGAATGGCCTGCTGGCGGGACTTCCTCCACGACACCCGCCGGGAGTCAGGCCTGGGGTGGGGGAGGTTTCCGGGGCCTCACTTCCGACTGTCCCTGCTGCAGCGTCTCCCATCTGTCGCTGTGTCCTCTGCCCGGGCTCTTGTCCCACCCCCTGGTTTGTGCTGGGACAGTGTGTTCGATGTTTCCATTAGTGCGGTCAGCCCTTGCTCCACTTCGGTCTTTTTCCCGTTCCCTTTTCGCCTGTTGCATTGATCAGTCAGGCGAGTTGACATTTTTTAGCTTAAAATGTTTCAGTTTAACTGCTGTGAGCCAAATATATTTTGACCTCAGCTCTGTACTGTGACTCTACTCAGCCAGCGAGACCAAGACGCCCGGCGCCAAAGCCCTCTCTTTCTCTTTTTGGCCTGAGTCTTCCTCGGAAGATTAGAGGGATGGCTTGTGACTGAGGGTTGTTTTGCAACCAGTTCAGATATAGGTTTGGCCAGTGGGATGCCCAGGTGTGAGAATGAACCTGCCACTGTGGCATCTTATCTGGTTCCTGAAGCTGGCCAGCCACGCGTGTCTGAACGTGTTTGTCCCTGATGCCATCTTTCTGTATAAAACCCAGCGGGCAGTTTACATAGTTGTTCTGTGCCCCGGGGAGACTTGGATGAGCTCCAGATAGCAGCTGATTAACTGCTGGACTGAGACAGGGGGAGAAGAAAGTCAGGGTCTTAGCGAGTCTCCGATGCAAGGACTGTTGCAGGCCCCACAAGGAGTCCAATGACAGCAAGACCCCCACCTTTAATGCCAGGCAAACAGGCTCCTTTAGACAAAGCCCTTCACCCTCTATGCTTGACCCCGGCAGGCCACGCCTCTTCTTCCCCCACCCAGACTCACCGTCAAGTTCAGGGTGGGAAAGGAGGGTGAAGAGAGAAGGACAGAATCGTCCCTCAGCAGAGGGTCCGGGCTGCTGTAGCTGGTACCTGTACTTAAGACCCTCTTTGCTTGAGTGGAGACCCCAGAAAACATGTAGCTCCAGCCTCTACATCCATCGACTAATTCTTTAATCCATTCTTCATGTATTCACTGAAAACATATATTTATATGACTGACCCTGAGCCCGGCCCTGGGAATGCAGAGGACGGGGCAGGTTATGGGTCCAGCAGGGAGACAGTAGTTAGGAATCGGATAAGGGTCTCGAAGAGAAAAACCCTGAAATATAGGGGACAAACGGGGACATTTAACGGGAGAGCTGACCCAGGCTGAGGTGGGGGTGTGCATGGAAAGCCTCCTTGATGCAGTGACATTTAATCTGGTGTGTGAGGCATGAACTGAAATCGCACCGTGCGGAGAGGTGAGAGAGGTGTGCATTAGGCAGAGGCAACTGCAGGTGCTGAGGCCCTGAGACAGGGAGAGGAGGGGAAATCCTGAAGGGCGGGTGGAGCAGAGACAACTGTGTGCGTGGGGGGAGGAGTGGCAAAAGATGAGGCCACAGAGAGGCAGGCGAGAGAGAATGATGCAGGACCTTAGAAGGTCCTGGAGGGCAAATAAAGGATGGAGGGCTTTATGCAAAGGTATCCAGGAAGCTACAGAGTCATTTTCAGCAGGTGACCCGTGAGGAGGCTGGTCAACAGGTGGGGGGGCTGCACTCGGACAGAGTGGCAGCAGCGGTGGAGGGACTGGAGGTGTTTGCGGATGACTTCAGGACACGGGACCTGCTGATGGGTCAGATAAAGGCCCCAAGGAAAGGCAGCGCTAAGCAGAGGCCTGAGGGAGGCAAGGGAGTGAACCACATGGGGCCGGTGTCTGGGGAAAGCGTTTTCAGCTGCACAGCAGGAGTGAGACAGAGTGGAGACCTGCACGCGCGCAGTGTGTGGGCCTGGCGGCCAGAGTGGCTGACACCAGGCAGGTAGTGGGAGGGCGGTGATGTCCTGGGAGATGAGACCGGGAGATGCTGCAAACAGAGAGGTGGCTGGGCCGGGCTGGGGAACAATCCTGCAAGTCCCTGAAGGTCACCCAAGAAAGCTGGGATGACTTCAGAAGATTTTAAACAGGAAAGTGACCTATTCTGACTTACTTTGATGTTTATAGAAGATCACATGGGCTGCTGGGTTGAAAGGAGATTCGGGGGGCAAAGATGGAAGCAAAGAGACCAGTGACGAAACGATTGCAATAGCTTGGGTGAGAATAAATGGCAGCTCAGACTTCACTGAGGCTGTGGGTGGTGAGACACAGCCGGGCTCTGGATACACTCGGAGCAGATGGAGTGGAGTGTGAGAGAGAAGCATCGAGAGAAGTATCCAGGCCTTTGAGACTGGGAGGGCGGGAGAAAGGGGTTGCCCTGTTCCAGGAAGGGGGAGCCTATAGGAAGGACTGGTGTGGAGAAGAGGGAGTGATCTTGACCATAATTAGTTTGCAATTTCTAGTTAACATCCACGTGGAGGTGGAAGTGGAGAGTGAGCAGGGGCGTCTGGCAGGAGAGAAAATTGAAGTCAGCAGCGTGTGGGTGGTGTTCGAAATGTGGTCTGGCCAAGTTCACTCGCCTAGGAGTGAGAGTAGACTGAGAGAAGGCTGGAGAGCAGCACCACCTGTGAGTCAGGGAAGTGGGGGGATGGGAGTGAACTGCAGGGTGCGGAGCAGGTGGTGTCCTGGAGGCGGAGTGAGGAAGGTATTTGAGGATGGAGAGGTCAGCTGGGCCATGTGCTGCTGACTGCTTGGTCCAATGAGAAATGAAAACGGACTGCAGGTTTAGGCCCTGTAGGGGTCACTGGTTACCTTTACAAGGACACTCTCGGACAGGTGGGACTAAGCCCCTGGAGAGAGAGGTTCAAAGAGGACAGGTGGGAGTGGGGGGTCGGCAGACAGCTAAGGGGACAGCGTCCAGGCCGAGGAGGAGGGGCCGACGATCTGCGCAGTGTGTCTGCACCACAGCCACGTGGTGTGAGGACCAGAACAGACCTTCAGACTCTAGCAGGAGAAGCTCAAGTGCAAAAATACACACTAGGAAGAAAGGAAAAGTCCAGAACATGGGCCTGTGAGCTGGACAGGAGGAAGAGTTCAGCTTGGGGGCACTCTGGGCAGCCAGAGTCAGGGCAGCAAGACTCATTCCAGATGCTTCCACTGGAGGGGAGAGGACTTGGCCTGCGCCGCTGGCTGGGACGGGGCTGGCCGTGTCAGATTGGGAATGGGACCAGCCCCTGAGGGCCTTCAATGCGCACGGTTGAGAAGTGCAGTGCGGTGGTCCTGACTGCCCATTACAGTGATCCAAACCCCCCAGCCCTGGGCCCTGCCTGCGAGAATACCCATCTGTCCACCTCCAGTGGGGGCCGGTCCCCATTTTCAAGCATCTTCCCCTGTGATTGTGATGCACCACCAGCTTCAGCTTATTCCTGAGCTTGGGACCAAGCCAGGGTGGCAGGCACTTTGAGATAAAGAGGGCCGCAGGGTAAGCCAGCCCCAGCACTGGGAGGGCAATAATTGCTGTAATCTGTGAAGGAATTTGTTGGCTTTCCTTAGAAGAGCAATTCTCATAACATTTACCAAAATGAAAATCCTGATTAATTCTGCAGGTTTATAGCTCCCCAGAGGCTGGAGGAAAAAAACATCACTTGGCAACAGAAGCAAACTTTATTCTGGCAGCACAGACAATGCTGCAAACACTGGATCGTGAGTTCTCGTACTTTCTGGAATTCCAATGCGCTGCATCCCTGGGATCAGGGAAACACTACCATGGCCAGCTGCTCACGCTGCCGCCTGGACCAGGTGCTCCCAGACTCCTGGGTCTCTCAGCCTTCTGGTTCCTGGTTTCCGGGGTACTCTGGGCAGCTGTGGCTATGGTCAGGCCAGCGTGGCTTCCTTTGAGGAGCCACCACTGTGCACTTTAGGGAGGGTGTCAACGAGAATCACTGCTTGCAGGGTCTCCCAGGAAACAGTGATCAGCTTAAGACACTGGCATGGGTTCAAAAGGGGCTGATCAGCACTGGTAGTTTTTTTAGGGTTATTGTGTGGCAATGATAAAGCTTCACCTGAAGATGCAAAGCTAGAAAATGTGAGTCTGGATTTATCAGTTGTCACTGTCCTCAGGGACACTGTGTGGATAAAGATGCTTGTTTGTAGGATAAAGCCAGAGAGAGAGAGAGACAGACAGACAAAGTGTGTGAGTTTTGCCAACAATATGCCTGGTTCCAGGCCCCCAGACTCTGGAACTTTCCATCCCGTGAGCTCTCCCCGCACCCTTTTAGGGTTAAGCTTTTTGGTTGTTGAGTGCTCTCTTGTAACAAGAGCATCTCAGCTAAGACAGGTGATGTCTGAGTTTCTTGTCGACCTCATCGTAAGGTGGAAGTGTAGGGAATGCACTGGAGAGCAAGGCAGGCATGGTCGAAGAGCTTGTGAGGCAGCTGTCCCTGGGATGTCCAGGTGTCTGTCTCGGGGTCGTAGCAGTCAAAGGAGGCCGAGTCCTCGATGCTGCAGTCTGTGGTCAGCCGCCGCCCGCCCGTCACGTAGAGCTTCTTCCCCATCACCGCGGCCCCGTGGTGCATCCTCCGGTCTTTCATGTCGGCACACTTGACGAATTTGTTGGACTGAGGGTCATAAGCTAGAATTCTCCTTGTGTAACCTGAAAGCCAAGTGGGGTATCAGCACGGTCAACTGTCCTCACTGGGAGCAGAAGTAAACAGTCTGGGAATGTGCCTGATTTCTGCCATCACCTAACACTGAAGCTGGAATCTGAACGAAAGCGTGGAATGTGTTGGTACCTGTCCGAGGGCTAGTGTGTGGCAGAGCTGGGGTTCCGCCCCTGCATGCTAAACCCCACGTTAACACTGCACGTGAGTCAGCTTTCAGTTGGAAGCAGCCTCCCACTCACGGTGCTCTCTCAGCCTCACAGCCTCCTCTGTCTCTCCCACGTGCCCATCCAAGAGCTACAAGGATCTAAAGAAGGAACCTTTGGAAAACTCAAGAGTGGTCCTCTCAACAGCCCTATCAGGTGGGTCCTCTGAGGACCCCCATTTTAGAGATGAGCAAACTGAGGCACAGCTAGAGTAATAACTTGCCAAAGAGTTTATGGCCAGTGAGTGGCAGGGTCAAGGTGCAAACCCAGACCTATCTGACCCCCAAACCCATCCTCCCAACTATGACGTTAAACTGTGATTACAGAGAGCGATCCATTAGTAGCTAATGTTAACAAGAGCAAATTTTTTTTTGAGAATTTGCCGTGTGTCTGGGATCATGCTAAATGCTTTCAATACACGAGCATGTTTTATTTCCACAACAACTCTGTGAAATACGTAGTTTTTCATTCCTGTTTATAGAAAAAGACCGGGAGAAACTTCTGGATGAGAAAAGAGCTTTGTCAAGTTGTCCACACTCCCGTTAGCCAAGGGAGGTGACTTTACAAAGACCGGCTCATACAACAACGCCTCTCTATTATGTCCCTTTTTCCATGGGAGATGCCAGGTTTGTGCCAGCCAGGCGACCCCTCGTTCAGACTCACCTCCCACGATGACAATCCGCTCCCCAAGCACCACGGCGGGGGCACACACGTTCTTGATCATTCTTGTCTCCATTTTGAACCACGTGTTTCTGGCAATGTGATAGACCTGAGAGAGGAATAGAATCATGGCCCCGTATCTTAAAGTGATCTATATTTTAAAAGGTAGAAGTAGTACTTAAGGGGGTAAAATAGTGATTTTTTTCTTTTCACCCTTTCTCCCAATATTTAGAATGTAGATATATTACTATCAATAAACAAAAATATTCAAATAAATAGAGAGAAGACTATTATAAGAAATTGGTTTTTATGGGACCCCCATGAGGTCAGTGGCTGTGTTTCTATAGGATGGACCCAGAGTTACTCACTGTAGCATGTATTTGCCCACCTTGCTTAGAACAACGTTTTCTTTTAAAGAGAAATGGAGTAACTTGGATATTTGTGAAAAACAATGATTTTTCAATTATTTTTATTTCTGGCTCATGCTTAAACTTCTAAATGTTCCAAGTATATCTGAGAGCTCTTAGAGCCAAGAATAAATTTGGGGCTAAGTGCGGAAGGCTCTTGAACAGCTCATGCCTGAAAGTCATTAGAACCACGGGGAAAAAAAGAAGCACAAGAAAAGGACCAGGGAGCAAAGGGGCAGGGCTGGCCGCCACACCGAAGCAGAGCCGCAAACCACGAACGTTTCCCAGAGCCTGTTCTCCAGTTCATTCTCACCTTTGAAAGTTTAGCTATCAAACGCCAGTTAGTTCATTATTGGAAAAAATTAGCACAAGAGATATAGGATGGACTTCATATAAGAAAAGAAGGAACAAAAACATCCATTTACTGAGGAAAATGGCACAGTATTCTACACTGGACATTCTTTTTATTATAGGATACAGTTGCTGTCATACTAAGGGCCTATTTTTAAAATTATTTTTTACCAGGTTGGGTCTTCACACCCTTCCAGTGAGGCAGGCACCGTTATTTACCCCCATTTTTCAGATTAGACGCTGAGGCTCAGAGAGGTTAAGTGTCGTGCCCAGAGTCACACAACTGGAGCAGGTGGGCCAGCCGGTCTGGCCAAGCCCGGTATCCATGTTCCTAACTTCCACAGTCAGGGCCCTGCCGAGGCCACATAGGGGTGGCCTTTCTTTTTCCCTTTTTTTCTTTTTTAGCCAAAACTAATGACAACTGCTGGGAAGCAAGCTCTCAAATGCTCCTGGTGTGGCCTTTGAGACTGGAGAGCTCCATCATCACGTTAAGCCGGTGAGGCATGTGGAAGGTCAGGTGCCAGGGACAGGGACGGTCACAGTGGCTGTGAAGCCACATGGTTCTATCTGAAAATAGGTGACACTGTGCAAAGTGGGATCCTTGGAGCAAAAGCAAACATGGGTTGCATTTTATTTGAGTAATTACCTCCTGGTCTTCTATTCTCTGTCTGACTTGTGTATGTTTCCAAAAATAGATTAAACATTTGCCCACAATCTTCATAATACCTCAGAGAGGCCAGGACAAGGACATCAGCGGAATGTTCCGGACCAGGGGAGGAAATGATACTTTGTTATGGTAAAGGATTCCCTGAATGCCATCCAGGAAGAGAGTTAGAAAGAAGGCCCAGTAGAAGGGCCCGCGCAGCCGCAGGATTCACCGGGAACCCACTGCAGCGCCGTTCTTAGAGGAGGGCGTGGTGGTGAACCAGCTGAGGAAGCAACCCCTGAAACTGTGCGTGGAAATCCAGCCTGCTCCATCTCCACCCAGAATCCCCAAGAATTCCTCTAAAACTCCATCTACATCAGTAAAATTTCCAGTTCAAAACCAATGCTAAATACATAAGAAAAGCTTCCAGATGAATACTTTACCCCTTTCTCCTTCTCATCTGTGCAAGAGGATCCCCCACATGCTAGTGGTTTTGCAAGGGTCATATTTGATTATACTCTGAATTTCTTGAAATGCCAACTTAAAAGCCCCTTCGAACTTTGTGTTTATTTTGAGGAAGTCGATAATTTTGCAATGTGAAATCATCAGCATATGTGTTGACTTCATTTTGAAAAAAATAGTTTTAAAAAAGAGGGAAGGGCTGTAGTTGGACATAGGAGCTTTTCATTATGTCTGTGTCGTGTGGCCAAGCTTGGAGAGGGGCTGACTGTGTCTCTCTTGGCTCAAGTGAGTGAGTGGGGTCTGGAAGAGACTCAGAATCTGTCTAGATGGTCAGGGAGGAGCCAAGGATGTGGGCTGGAGAAGTAAAGGCCAGAAAAGAAACAAAAAGAGAGTTCAGTTGGAGTCTGTTACTTTTCTCCATCTCCACTGGCATCCACTTAGCTCAGGCCACCATGATCCCTCGCCTGGGGAAGAGTCCCCAACTCTCTTCCCTTTGTGCACTCAGGCCTTCTCCAATCACTTCTTCCCAAGGAACCCAGAGGGAACTTCTGAAAATGCAAATTTGATGACTTCATCCACCCTGCTACCCTCAGGCTAAAACCCCAGTTCCTTGACAAGGCTAGGAAAGCCCTGCCAGACCAGCATGCTCTCCACAAACACCCATTGCCCAAGAATGTTCCCGAACTTCTGTAGGAGGGGCTCAGAGGCAGTGGTCTGAGAAAAGGGGGTGACTTAGAGAGGGGTCTTATGGTGATTATGTAGGGACTAACCCCAACCCAGCTCCATAGTGCACGCTTCCTTTCTCCTCTCGTTCTGTGTGGTGGTGACATGGTCATGCTTCAAGTTCCTCCAGGCAGTGGGCTGTGCCTCCTTTCTGCTTCAGGACCCTTGTGCCAGCTGCTGCCTTACTCAGGAACACCACCTGCTCTCAGGAGACATCTGTCTCCTGCTGCAGATGGTAGATTCCTCTGCTCAGAGCAGCTTCCCGCTCATCCCTGTGCATGCCATGCCCCTCATCCTCTTTGACTCATTACCCTCCCCTCCCTGCTCTCTTCTCCTGCTGCTCTGCTGAAGTCAGCGTAAACCAACCTCACAGAGGGAGTTCCCCCTGAAGTCCCCTGGTCCTGTGCTCCTAAAGCACCCTTCTAGTCAGCATCTGAGTTGCAAAAATCTCAGAGCTCCCGGAGGGTACGTGCAGTCTACTGTCCACGCCTGTGTCCTCGGGCCTTCACTGTGGGGGGCCTCAAGGCCACTCTCCTATGTGAACAAGCAAAGCACTGGGGCCTCCTTGATTGTCTTTCAAGGTCAGCTCATTATTCCAGTTTTGCCTATCGTTAGGTGAATTGCAGACATTGCTAGAACTTGCATAATGCTGGGAAACCCTTAATATTCTGAAATTTTGGTCTTTTTAATTACACTTCTCAGAGAGCTTGTGAGTGAAGCTAGCTTTTACCTATGACTTAATGCAGGGGTTCCCTAACATGGCCACACCTTGGAATCTCCTGGAGACTTTTATAAATGTCAGGACCCCACACAAAGAGATTTTGATCCAGCAGATCTGAGGCCATGTTCCAGGAGATTTGGTAAGAGACTATGGACCAATGCTTGGGAATCTTCTTTAAAGCCTTACCAATTTGGTTGAAATCACCCACCAGATTCCTGTAGGACTTTACTATCTGACATTCAATGTGTTCTAGCTTGAACTTTTGATACACTATTTTTTTCTCAAATAAAGATACTCTTTGTGGACAGGGATTGTATCTGATGTACCTTTGTATATATTAATCTTACACAAAAGAATTCATAAATGGATAAAATCTTGTTGAAATTAAACTTCCTCCCTCCCTTCCTTCCTCTTTCTTCTTCTTTTTCCCCTGCAGATGACAAGGGTGCGTGTATATATTATATGTACATGTGTATATACATGAGCACACATGCACACATATGTTTGTGCAGAGATAGGTGTATGTGTACATGCATGTGAACATGTGTGCAGTGTGTGCGTGCATGTGTTCGTGGGCATGTGTTGTGTGTGTTTGTGTGCATGTGTGTGGGCGCACACTCCTGCACTTACATGATGAGAAGGACCAGCCCTTTACCTGGATAAGGCGCACAGGGTTCTGCATGATGTCCTCTCCCCCAAAGAGGTAGAGTCTTTGGTCTTTCACAGCGACTGCAGGGTGCAGAACCCCCACCGGCATGCTGGCCATACTCTCCCAGACGTTGCAGACACTGTCATATCTCTCCATGGAGCTCATGACCTCCTGCCCTGCTCCAATCCCCCCGATGGAGAAGATGAAGTTCTTATGGGTAGTGCTTCTGTGGGAGTAGCGGGCTGCCAGCATGGGCTGTCCCAGCCTCCACTGATTGAGTTTCAGGGAGAAGACGTAGACATGGTGACTAGGGACACTTGTCTCTGTGCTGACCGCCATGCCTCCCAGCACGTAGACGCTGCGGTGCAAGGCGACAGCTGAGGCCTTGTAGAGCCGAGTGGGGAGCTTGGCAAGGCTCTGCCATTGGCCAGTCTGTCTGTTGTAGAGCAGAACGTCCCTGGTGGTCTGCTGGTTGTCCTTCCGTCCACCCAAGAGGATGAGGAAATCTTGGTAAGAGTTTCTTGGGGGGACGTGCCATGGAGGTTGGAGGTCTGGGACACTGGGGGTGCCATACAAAGAAAACAGGTGCCTCTTGGCCGTCTCCAAGATGATCTGGCATGAGGGCGAGGACTGAAGGAGGGCGTCGTTGGCGATGAAGTGGTGGAAGAAGGCCGGGTGGATGTACGGGAGCCTGACCAGCTTGAACAGTTCCTGTACATACCGCTTCCGGGCCTGGAGGTCATGCTTGACCCAAACCATGAAGGCCTCAAACACCTTCTCCTCCTCCCCGCAGAGCCCGTCATCCCCCAGGTAGTCTCTCAATTCCAAGGCGCACAGCTCCTTCAGGTCAGCTGACATGGCCACCTCTGGAAAACATGTCAGGGCCACCTCCCTGGCCGTTTTCCTGAGGGTCTCACAACTGAAGATGTCCGAGAGTCTGATCATGCCCAGGCAGTTGCTGGGGGTCAGCTGGCTCTGCAGGTAGGAGGAGCAGGCCTCGAACAGCTTGGGGTACTGCAGCATGGAGGCAGCTTCCATGAGGGGCAGGACGTTCTCCGTGGCGATGCGCACCTCCCCGGTGTACACATACAGGACCAGCTGGTCCAGCGTCGTGCAGTTGATGCCCTTCAGCTGGACTTTGGCCTCTTCGCTCTCCCGGAAGTTGCTGCAGAACATGGCCCTGAAATAAGGGCTGCTGGAGGCCAGCACGTTTCGGTGGCAGGGAACCTCCCAGGCCTCGACACAGAGGATCACATCCGTCAGGATTCCGTTTTGTCTTAAGCCATTGAGCTGCCTCAACAAGTCCGAGGAGAAGTCGTGGTCTTTGAAGAGCAGCCCGTCTGGAGACTCCTCGTCCATCCTGCAAAGAGCGGGAGAAGTCCCAAGAGGAGGCACGTGCTGGAGGGTTTGGCCTCAGTGGCTCCGAGACTTAGAGCATCTCTGTCCACTCCCGGGATGGATGCGTGTGGGTGGCACCAAGTATATCGCTCAGCAAAGGCTGGGAAGACAGGCCACCCACCCTCCAGGCCTCACAGCCGACACCTCTTTTTGGTTCTGGTTACTCTGAAAGGTAGCAGGCAAATAACATCCTCATATAATCTGGGAAAACAAACAAAAAAAAATTAGAGATTGTTGGAAGTTACTGATTGTCAGGAGCTGAAATGTTAGCCCGAAGCAAAATGACAGTCCACACATTTGACCAGCAGAAGTCTTGCAAGCGTTTCTCCAGATTCGCAGCCTAGCTGTTATTTCGTAAATTCATCGCAGCATCTTCTGGGTGTTAGTCATTCCCTAAGGTTGCCACTCTGGGGGTGTGGCCCCCGGTGACTAGACAGAAACAAGGGACAAAAATGGACCATTGCAGTTTTTTAAAAACATGACTTCACAAATTCTTTTGGGTTTTGTTTTAGAGATGGGATAAACAGAAAGCAGGGTTTATTGCATGGCACCGGCAGTCCACCTGCAGGAGAATGAAACATTAGGGACATTTACCTTGTCTTGCTGCAGGGATATCCACCGATGCCTGGTCCAGCTGGCCCCTCCGGAGTTTTCACCTCTGGCTCCAAGTGAAATCATAAACCCAGGCCTTTCCTTCAGCTGGCAAATGCTTTGTCCTGGGGGAGTTCTGGGTTTGTTTATGCTAAAGGCACTTTCACAGTTTTCTAGAGCTTTGTGAAAGAGCTGCTGGGCAGGGAGACAGTGTATACATTCCAGGGCTAAGAATAGTTGCATATGTACTTTCCACTGTTATGACATGTGACTTTCCAGTTGCCTTTTGCAGCAACCCCAGGGCCGGCGGGGCCGGCGCATGCCCACATGCTTTGTTTCCTTGGCAAGCGTTTACCTCGGCATAAATAGATCTGAAGGAACGGCTTCTCTTAAGAGAAGACTTTGCTGCCCACTTGGAAGCATCCAGAGTCCCTTGTCCTAAAAGTGCCTGGGAATTCTAGACGTCTGTAAACAGGTTGCTGTGACCTGGGGATATTCACTGGCGATAGTTCTGGGTGGTCACAAGGGAAGCTGGAATGTGGGCTCAGGGGTGCAGTGTAATGGGTCTCTCATGCCACCTGCCTGGCAGAACCATGAGAGGGGTGATTTCCTCCCCCAGGCTCTGAGATGAGAGAGTCTACAACACAGTTGTTTTTAATATACGTGAAGCATCCCAGAGTTTCCGGACTCGGAACGGCCTAACCTTTGTCAGCTCTTACGACAGAGGCCTCAGTTCTAAAGTGGTGAGGGCTGGGGCGCTCCTCTGCCTCATAACTCCCTATCACAGACCCTTGCTGATCCCTCTTCAGTTAGATTTTTTATTTGTCTGGCTTGCTTTTCTGTTTGACTTTCCTCCTATCAGACAGGCTTGAGCTGGAGGCAGGAGACAAGGCTTCTTGCTCCAGGGTGTTCCAAAAATTGAGAGAAAGAGGGAGGGAGAGAAGAATGGAGGGAGAGAGGGAAGACAAGCAGAGGGAGACAGAGAGGCGTGGGAGGATAGAGAGAGAAAATGGGGAGTAGGAGGGGGAGGAAAAAGAAGAAGGAAGGGGGGAGCAAAAGAGGAGAATGGTGGTAATGATGAAGTGGGTGTGAACCTCCAGATGTAAGAATCACAGCCAGGATGGAAGGCTATAGAACCACAAGGATGGGTAAAAGGGACCCCAGGTCTGTCCTGCCCTGTCCCCAGGGAGGCCTGATTTGAAGGTACCAGCAGTGAGTGGCCGGGGAGCTTGGCTTTCTCTCCTTCTCTGTCTCGCTTGGACTATTGCAACACCTTCCCATCCCATTCCCCCCACTTGTGCCCAGTCTTTTTCCTCCAGTTCACCTACTCTGTCACCACCAGTGTGGCCCTGGGGAAGGCAAATCAGAATCTGCCATCCCCTACATCGTGCCCTTGAATGGCTCCCCATGTCTGCAGGATGAAGTCCAGACTGTAGCAGGAATCAGATTGGTCTTGATACTGCCTACTTTTGTTTTTATTCCCGCTCCATCAGACAACCTGCAGAGCCTTGTACGTGTCTGTTCCTAGCTGGGAAGGCTGGGCTGGGCTGGCCTGCAGGGTATCCCAGGGTAGGATGGAGGGAGGAGTGCCTCTCATTCACAGATGCATGGATCATGCCCCGAGGTCGGACAGATGTATCCACAACATGTCACTGGGGCCAGGAGCCTATGGGTCAGAATTAGGAGCAGAAAACCTGAGCTACAGGGGTCAGAGACCCATGCAGATACAAGCAAGATATTGGAGAGAGGAGCTGTTGGTGCAGCTATCAGAGCTGGTGACTCTTCCTGCATTTCTGAGCCATGCTGGCCATAGAGCCAATGAGTAGCCAGATTCCTTAAAGGGCCCGAGGCCCTTCTATTTTCTGCTTCTGTGCCTTTGCATGTTTTTTTCTTTTTGTCGTCTAAAGAGATGCATTGAAATGAAAGCATTTTCATTGCTGAACTCCTCTTCACCCTTTAAAACTTAGTTCATGTCTCAGCTTCTCTGAAAGTCTTCCTTGACCCGATCGGATAATTGGTTTCTGACTCCTCTGTATTGTTTCCATTCCCCCCCCCCCCATTTCTAATATGACATGCCTCGGACCTCACTGCATTTGTATTTGCCTATCTGCATCTCTCTTACTGGAATGGAAGTGTCTGGACAGCGAGAACCTTGCCTTCATTTCTCTCTATCCTGAGTGCCCAGACGCCGTCTGGCACACAGTGGGTGAGTTACAGACAGTCCCTGAAGGGGCTGGAACAGAATGGAGATCCAGGAAAGGGAGGCAGCTCTGTGGGCAAACTTCATGCCCCACCTGCTATACAGGTGTAGCAGAGCTGCCGTGCACAGCCTGGTGCTCGTCCCTCAGATGACAATGTGACCGGTACTCTGGAGTGGCCCTGGTCGTCCCTCATTTTAGTCAAATCCAACAAAGCAATGAAGTGAAAAGAAAACCATTGCTTTATACCACACAGCAAAAGTTAAGTTCAAGGTTGGAAATGAAACTGAGGTCCAACTCTTAAGCTAGGGCTTTAGTCATTGGCCTTGGCCTTGGAGTCAGCACAAGGGAAAGATAACGTCCTTGTTGTTCTGAAATGCCTGTGTTATTTCTCTCCCAGCTGATGAGCAAGCCCAGGGGTTTGCTGTGAGGGCAGTAAGTAGGGATTTCTGGGGTTCCCACTGCAGGGGAATTTCGGATCTTTTTCTCTGGGCCCTAACTGCTTAGACCTCCTGGAATCCAGCCCTGCCAGGCGTTCCAGTGAGCCCGGGGTGTGGCGTCAGTGCCTGACCAGCTCTAATAAATCCGCTGGGTTTCAAAGTTTAGAAAAAGCAGGCCCCATTTTGTTGGCCTGGCCTGCTAGGAGAATTCTGGCTCCATGTTAAATGTCAGGAAAAGACAGAGTCGTGGTGTTTACTTCATAGCACCCCACTTGCAACCCCAAGCCCAATCCACAGCATGTCTCTACCACCCACGCGCAGCCCCAAGCAGCCTACTTTCAATGCATGTGTCTCAGAGAGTAGTGTGCTGTTTGTCTTCACTTTTTGTCCTTCTTTGGAGTTTCGGGTCTGAATGTGTGGGAACCTAAAATAAAAGCGGACATTGAGCCCCTTGCCCTACTTTTGGTGAAAGTTGGTATCATAACAAGTTAAGACTCAGGCTTTGAGCACACAAAGGGAGAATCTTGCCATTTCCTCTCAGGATCTTGTGTGGTTTTGGGCAAGGAACTTATATTCTTCCAGCCTCAGTTTCTCCATCTGTTCAATGGTAATAACAGTCCTCGTCACAGAGAAACAAGGTGTGGGAAGCATCCAGTAAAGTGCCTGGCATAGTCTAGGTTCACTGTGGTAACTTATGGGTAGTGTTTATTATATTATTACTCTGAAAATAATTTCGTTAGATTCCAATAGTTCAGCATCTGATTTGGTCTTCTGCTCATGCTAGCTGTTTCCTGTGTCTTAATCAATCGCTTTGTTCCTTATTATCTACCCGGCCTCCAGGAATCTTGGATCCAATATGGGCTCTGCCATGAACTGGCTGTGTCTTTGCACAAGTCGATAAATCTCCCTGCACTTCCTTTCTTGTGTGGCTGTGAAAGATTGGGCCAGGTGACATCTGAGCCCACCCACTGTAGGTCACGCTGTAGTTTGTGTCCTGAGGTGACCAGAAGGGACTGCCAGAGGCTGACTCTTGAAGAGGGGGCCTCCCCAGAGCCTGTGCCTAGATTCTGTCCTGCCTGGCTGAGCTGGGCCTGGATCCCTGGGGAAGGGCGGGCTGGTTCAGCACAGCAGCAGGTCTGACAACTGCGGCAAAGAAGCCACCAACATGCTCCACCACGCATGTCCACGTCCAGTCCTCCCAACAGCCTTCGGGGCAAGGTGTAACTTTCCCTCTAACCAGTGAGCCATAGCTGTCGGTTCTGAGGAGCTGCGTTTCAAGAATGAGCAGACCTGCACTTAAAGGCCATGCGATAGCTCCTTGGAGACTGGATAAATGGCTATTCTTTGTTGTCCTCCGACTGTCTCCTGTCCCACAGTCAGAAGGTGAAGAAGAAAAAGGAGGATCAGACAAATAAGGCTTCAGCAGACCAGATCCTTAAAAGCTGTGGGAAGGAAATTGCCACTTGCTATGTGATTGCAAAACTTGTCTCAGTATGTGAATTCCTGCCCATCCAAGTCCGTATCTTTTGGCTGGGTGTGTTTTTTCACCAGCATGTGCAAAGCTGGACAAGGACTTTGTACTCCAGACAGTGGCCCAGAGGCCCCCTGTTCCTTGACTCTGGTCTTGCCGTGACAACTGTGCTCTGAGAACTGAAAGCCTAGCTCTGCTTTTACTTGGCCAGTAGTGCAAATGAGGCATTCTCGGCTCCTCCTTCACCCTGCCCACCGACCAGAAACTGTCTTTATATTCCCCCCCCTCCCCGGGGAGGGCAAGGGAGAAAAGGCCAGCAGAGGTAACAGCAGGCTTGTTCGTGGATTGTTGGTGTACAAGCTGGTGGTCAGGCCTCCCTTCTCCCCACAAACTATATTCTGACCTGATACATCACTTATGCCACAGATCAGCTTTCTGGACTCTAAATTAAATTGGGAAGAAAGAAATAATATGGTCCAAGATGACTTCTTGCTCTCTCGTTTTAGTGCTGTGAGTCACCAAGAATAATACACTGCCTCGGCCTCTCTGCTCCCCAGGGCGGGCACTTCTGATGGTGAGAGAGGCTTTTAGGCTGGAATATCACTCCCCCCAGGACACGGAGGCATGATTTGGCAATTTTCTGCTGGGGTGTAGCAGGCGGATGCCCTATAAAAGACATCTGTTGAGAGGGTGAACTTTACTTCTTTAGAAGTAGCATTGATTAGAATCCCTTGGGGAAATGTGATTTGAGCAAGGTAAGAGTCTAACTAACCAAGGGTCCGTCCATCTCTCCATCCACCCGTCCACTCATTGAGTAAGACAGTGTCCCTTGCCCTTGTGGAGCTTACAGTCTGGTAGGGAAGACAGACAAATAAATAATTTAAGTGTCTTAAGCGTTAGGAAGGGAAACGTTTCTCTCACCCCTTCTCCTTCCCAACTCACCCCTGTCCCACCATAAATTCTAGGTCCTCATAGAAGAATTGTGCACATACATCTTTGAAAAGCTCTCACGTCAGGCTGAATTTTAGTCATGTGTTTCACCTCTCTCTCATATTGTAGCTCCTTGAGGGCAGGAATGAGTCTATATTCCTGCCCCATATTAGGAAAGACAGAGAATGG